TCAGTTATCTTCTAAAAAATTATGTGTAGGTGAATAATCAGTGCAGCTTCCTGGCATAAGTGCATTATTGTTGGTATCATTTTTGTTAGAGTGCTAAATAATAGCCTGTTCCAACAGTGTGTGTGAGTTAAAAAATTATACACGTAAGATGTAAAAAGAGAAAAGGAACCTGTTCCTTGCCTTTCAAATACTGTTAGGTACAATTACCATTCTTCTAAGAAGAGAAAAATAAAGCCAAGTGAAGAGTGCACAACTGAATTTAAAATTAGCAAAATGCCTACTACTGCACTGATTCTTTTTACTTTTTTTTATTTATCTTTGTACATTTTAAAGTCCAAACTAAATCCTATCATAATTGGATCTCATATTTATGTAGATTCACTCTAAATTTAACATTTCTTCTGAGAAGCTTGGTGGACAACCACAGTGTCATATATGTAATGTGCATATTTAGCATAACCCAGCAAGAAACAGGTATTCTCCATGAGATGGAAGGCAAATATTTCTGAAATGTGAATATTCTTAGTGGAATAATTATGATAATTTCTGTGTGTAAGAGCAAATGATTGTTGAGAACTTGAAATTACCATTAGTATTTATTAAAAACAGTTCAAAAATCTGAAGGCTCTTATTAAAATTAAAGAGGTTATGCATTCAGGGTACCCAAAGATCAACCCATACAGTGAGTGAAATGCTTTAAAGTAAATGAAAGAAAGATGACTGTGTGTCTTGCTCTTAGTACTTCTCGGACTAAGAGAGAGGTTTCGTTTGTTCATTATATTTTTGTATCTTTGAAATAATAAATTAAAAAAACAAGCAGGAACTTGACAGGATCAAGTCTTCAAGAAATCAGGATACAAAAATTTTCCAATTTTTCAAGAATTTGAGACTTGGAATCATGACATTGCTGATGTGGAAATAAATAATTCACTCTTCATTTGTTTTACTTTTAACACGTGGAAAGCTTCCTATCTTAAATGCTCCCTTGAGGAGCGCTGCCCTAACTCTGAGAGCATCAATTATTACAACCACTTGCCAGTGACAAAACTTTGAAGGAAGAGAGAGAAACTTTGCTCCCTGTCCTGTCTCGAGTAGCTTGTGCCTTGCTCCTACCCTTAAATTACTGCGAAATAGATGTTAGTGCATAAATTTGCAGCATAGGCAGATAGCATATTAATATATTGTTTTTTTAATTTGTATTGACTGACTGGCTAGTAGCACATAAAGCTAATTTTTTCTGGATGCTTTTAAAAAGTAATTTTGTAGGGATTAGTCATGCAGTCTCTACTTGGGCAGAATTTCCTCTAAAGCCAGTGGCACTTATGCCTAGCTGCAGAGTGTGGGAACATGACCAAGAAGAGCATTCTACGCGTAGAAGGCATTTGTCTATATATTCTGCCATTTTTGTCCCAGTACAAAGTCTGGCACTGCGTTTCATGATACACGCTGCTCTGTTAGTTCTGTCTAGAAACAGGCTCTTTTCTGTGTAAAACATTGTTACTCTTTCAAATCAGTGTAACAAACAACAAGAGGAAAAATAATTTTCTCTGAAAACTTCTTGAATTGAAAATGCTTTCAATTTACAAATTGTGACATATGCCCTTTAAAACTTGTATGTCTACTGTTTTTATTTTCATTATGCGTTACAAATCCGTAATGTTTTAAAATGTTCAATTCCAGAAAAAAATATGGCTTTTAACCAAATAAAAATGTAAAGCCAACTTGCTCTAAAATCCATCTGTTTTTCATTTTCTTATAATCTATAATCAGGAAATCCATTCATACATGACATGTAATTTTTCTGCTTTCAAGTGGATAGTGGAATGTGATGTTCTGCATACAGTCACATCTAAATTGATAATTGTCCAGGCAGAATGTAATTTTAAAGTATAGGATGAAGGAAGGTTTAATTTGTATATTAGAAGTCTCGTGCATTTTTTTTTTTTTTTTGCCTCTGCATGTAAATGAGACTGTTCTCTTTGGTGGATTTATCTGAAGGTGGGACAGCTGCCTCAGAACAAGCCACGGCTTTCTGAGCAAAGAGGATACAGTTTAAAGAGCTGGTTTAACTGCAGACTCTTCTTAACAGTAAACCACACGCACACATTCATCATTGATTTTCAAATGATGGGTTTCTATATCACTGGTTTAAGGTCCACAGTCTTGCATTCCTGTATCCACACAATACCAGAAGAATAACAGTTTGGTGGCTGGAAAGAGCAACAGTTATTATATGGCTCCAAAATGCTAGCTGCCATAATATGCCATGAACAGCAGAAATCTGCTGGTAAAGAGAAGATTACAGCAGTGCTTAAAAATAATTTGATGTTCTAAAAATATAAATACAAGAAATGTTGTCACTGTTCAAAGTATTCGTAGGTAAATATAAAGGTTTGACTACAGTTTCTGAAGATAAAGGTGCCTTTTCTGAAAAGAGCCCGTTCTTTTTCTTAATTTTGATAGAAAATTATATGAAGTAAAACTTCTATAGAATGCAGTTGTTTTTTTTTCTTGTAATCCTTGCAATGTAAGGATTTTTTTTCTCCAGAAAATGTAGCCATAGAAAAAAACATATAAATTACAAAGCGTGCTGTTTCATCGAATATCTCTGGTCGTATATTGCAGAATAAAATAGCTGCATGAAGATTATGCTTGTTCAAACAGCTTCATTTTCACTGTCTGAACAGGTTCTTGTCCTACAACAGATTTCACAAGGTAGTTTTACTTCCTGTTAGTAAAACATCTCCTGTATGAAACCAGTACCAGAGAAACTTTGCTTTTGCTTCAGTTTCTTCTGTTGATCACGTCTCCACGTGATCACGTAAATGCTTTGCAGTATTCAGTTTGTCTTAGATGAAGTTCCAAAACTTCATCAACGTATTTTCTGAAAGAAAATATTCTTGTATATTCCAAATATCCCTTCTAATTCCACTGCCTTTAACAGTGCATAGCACTAATCAGAGCATAATATGGAGCATATCCATGCTGAGAGCAATTGCTCATTTGTTAAAAAGACTGCTGACACAAAACAGAAAACTCTTACCAGAGTTCTCCTACTTTAAATTGATAAGATTAAATTCACTTTTTAAATAAACTCATTTTTATCTCATTAACTGTAACTTACTCTTATTATGGAAATACACAACTGATTGGGCATAAAGAATACTTCTATTAAAAATCTCTGAATTTGTTCGAGTGCTTCTCTGTTTTGATCATAATTATTTTTTGCAAAGACTTGTGAAATTGTTACAGTGAAAAGCAAGAGAATAAAAAGGCTTGACCAGAACTGGCTAAAGGTACCTAAAGAATATGGAAGTCAAGAAATTTAGTGATACTTTTCATGTTGTTCCAAGCCTAACATTCACAATTCAGGATTTTCTGGAGCCTGAAGTGGTTTTGTGTGTAAGAGCCTTTGACTGATTTTGCTATGGTGGATTTTCTGATCTGGTAAGTAAGTACAATCAGTGTGCTGGCAAATTAAAAATATAGTTTAATGTTAGTCATACTTGGACACACATTATTCTAACTACAAAGCTGATCCACTCTCATTTACTGTCTCTTTTTGACTACCTTACAGACCTGTCAGATTTAGTCCCATAATCCATTCATGCCAATAGGACTGTAAGCACCATTCAACATGAAAAAGTGAGATACTGTAGTTCTTGTCTTTGGGACTACAGAGGAAATTATGAAGGTCCAGGACACCTAACTCATGGGCCTGCTCCACACTCACTAATTCTAGCTGAAAATTAAAGATAAGCCCCAAACAGAAAATGCCTAACATTTACATTTACTTTCTTGGTACTTGTCTGTGAAAGCTTTCTCTTCCTGAATTAACTCTCTTATTATGACTGGGCAATTTCTGTATTTCTCTTGACCATTAGAGAGAGAATTTCAGTCATTTTTTTTCTCCAGACTTTGTGGGTAGCAGATGAAATTTAATGGATAGAAAAGAAAGATCTCATTTTTAGTGGCATGGTAGGTGTCAGTAATAGTACTGAAACACAATTGCCGATACCATTTAGTGAGAGAAAGTAACTCTCTTTTGAAAAAAAAAGAGAGAAAGAGAGAAAGAGGGAAAGAGGGAAAGAGAGAAAGAGAGAGAGAAAAAGAGAGAAAGAGAGAAAGAGAGAAAGAGAGAAAGAAAGAGAAAGAAAGAGAGAAAGAGAGAGAGAAAGAGAGAACGAGAGAGAGAGAGAAAGAGAGAACGAGAGAGAGAGAGAAAGAAAGAGAGAAAGAAAGAGAGAAAGAAAGAAAGAAAGAAAGAAAGAAAGAAAGAAAGAAAGAAAGAAAGAAAGAAAGAAAGAAAGAAGCATTTGCCTGTCAGAATTCCTAGGGCTTGCAGAAAGCAGCAAGAGATGAAGATGAAAGATACAGAGGCATTTTCCAAATAAGGTTATGCTCTTCTTCTCATTGACTTTAGTGTTGACAGAATCAGGTCCAAAAACTGTGGTGAGGGAGCACAAAAAACATTTGAGAATCTTCCTAGTCCTCCCCCTGCCTTTTCTGGAAATTATAGCCTCACTATACTCATCCTTTGTTTAAAAACAAAACAAAATCATGAACTGGAAAGGGCTGAGTCAGGCAAGGCAGAACCCTCCATAGTTGTCAAGAAAATGCCGCGTAGCTTTGACTTTATTTAAACAGTAAGATTCTCTGAAACTCCTGACACTCTTTTAAGGAACAAGTAAGATCTTGGCCATTTTGAGCAGATAGTATATTGTGCTATGTAATACCATGATAAAGGGAGTCGTGTAATGTCATAAACTGCAGAGCATCACTGGATGTCAGCTGCCACGAGAGAAAGCTTACTAAGAGCAGTTTTTCCAAACATGATGCATGTTGTTTTTTTGCTGCAAAGATAGAATAAGTAGCACAACTATTTATCTTGAACCGTAGTATTGGAATGTTTTAATGTTTAGTATTAACAAATATATTTGAGTTTATAATCTTTCTCCCTTACTCTTTTCCATTTTCTGTTTTGTTTTTTTTCTAAATAGGAAATGGTTATGGCAACCCCCGCAACTCACCAGGTCTGCTGGTCTCACCTGGCAACTTGAACAAGAATATGCAAGCAAAATCTCCGCCTCCAATGAATTTGGGAATGAACAACCGTAAACCAGATCTCCGTGTGCTTATTCCACCTGGCAGCAAGAATACAATGCCATCAGTGGTAATGTATTTTAAAAGCCTTTTTTTAAAATCTCCTTCAGATAAAATATTTAAGAATTTCAAGGCCTGCTAAGCCAACTAAAAACAGTAGAATAACATTCCACATTCTTGCTTTTTTGGTCTTTCTGTCTGGCTTTATGGCTTGACATCAAACTAAGGATTTAGGCAGATTCATTTTAATTGCTTTTGTGAAACTACTTTTACTTCATCCTTTTTTTTCTATGAACTTACCAAATAGGAACTGTGTCCTGCACAGGGTGAACTTCTTCACTCACCTTCCTGATAACTGGAAGATCCTTTCCTGGGTTTTACATAAAGCTTGAGTTTAACCCCACGTACTCTTAGCAGATATATTTCTCTTAAATATTTAGCCATGCGACCCTCAGCAGATGACAGATTAACTACAAATAAATGAATTTGAACTCTACCACTCTGAGCAACAAAAGTCAGGTTTTAGGAGGATGAGATGTAGTAAGCAGATAGAGCATGACAGAGTGGAGCATCAAACTGCTGTACCTCTTACCAGTATTCACAAAATGTAAGATTGTTACAGTTAAAGACTGAATCATGAAAGAGTCATGTTAGTATCTTGCGGAACCCTTCCAGAAGCGGGTTGAAAGTAAAGTGGGTAGTTGAAAGTAAACCTTTCATTTGTGTTTTAACATTAAAATTGAGTTTGATTAAAAAGAGAGCTGGATGGTAAATTTACGTGCTGCCATAAACAAGTTTTTCCATTACGTAACAAACACTATTAAAACACCTTCCAAGCTGGCTGCCTTCGCTTGATGTATTATAAATTAACTTTGGACATCAAACTAAAACTTCCCATAAATGTGATGCTGGGATCTTAGAGGATAAGTAATAAATAGTCTCCTACAGGGCAGTCCTCAAAGTCGACCAAGTTGTGACAAGCTGTCTGCATCAAGTGATTTATTCCAAGGTCCTTAAAACTGATACTTTCCAAGGGATTCTATGAATGGTCAGATCTCCTGAAACCAGGTATAACAACACAATCTGCAGCCACTGGGGCTACAGAAAAAGTAATGAATTCTTGGAGAAAGGCTCATGCTGAAAAGTGGATAGATTGTCCTCACAAGCTGAGAGAAGCATCTTGTTAGAAGGACAAAGAAGAAATCTGTGGTTATTTTTTCCAAACTGTGCTCAGAAAGTGTGTAGTTTTCAGCCCCTGTCAGATGAAGCTATTCACTAGGCTATAATGCACCCTGGTAAATATCTACATTCACTGATTTTTAATGCTCCTTTCCTATGCACTCAGTCTGAGGATGTTGATCTGCTCCTGGTAAGTGGTAGTGATGTTCATCCTAATAATGAAAACATAAGATCTTTTATTTTGTATGATTGGTATATGTCTAGATGAAATGCTGGTTGAAGTCAATTGGAAAACTTTACCATAACTGCATTGTGAACAAAAGGGTCCTCACAACTTTTGAAATCTAGCAATACAAAGACAAGGTGTAGTTGTTGCACGTATTCAAATTATTCACACTACAGTAAAGCTCTCTCGGTGCTGATGATTTGCTAGTGTGTACTCCTGTGCTGTTGAAGACGGCACAGCCTTGTTATGTTTTTTGGTGGCTCCCTTCGCGTTTTATCCTGCCACTCACGGGATTAGAGTTCTGGAGTGCAGCTTTTACCACGCAACATGTAATGCCCGAGTTAAACGTGTAGTTGCGGTGCCACCTAGCTCTCCTGAAGTTTTTTGCTGCCAAAAACGAAGCAACCAGAGCACCATCTGCTGGTAAGAGCTTAGCATCCAGCAGCCTGGGGTGCCGCTCACTCCTGAATCAGGGCCTGGGGTTATTTCTCTCTCTCTCTGTTTCTGTGTCTCCTTACATTTGAATAAAAAAGGAAAAGAATGGGGGTAAAGTTTACATATTTCATGGTTTTTCACACGATCTGTTCTTCTACCCACAATAAAATCAATCTTCCTTGTTAGTAGTTCAGTTACCTAGGAGATACTGATGTAATGGGTTACTATGGTGACAACTGGTCTCTTGAAGGCTTGTAAATGATAGGGTTGGCAGAGTTCATAAAAGCCACATTAAATGATTAATTTCTAGGAATTTGTATCAGCTTTTGTTTCTTGTGCACAAATCAAACCCAGAAAGGTAATACACCCGGCTGACTTAAATCCAGTCAATAATATGTTTATTTTACTTACTTTAAAAGAATCAGAGGATAAATAACTCCCAGTCTGCTCAGTCATTGGCTACTCCAGTGGTTTCCGTAGCAACTCCTACTCTACCAGGGCAAGGGATGGGAGGATACCCATCAGCCATCTCAACAACATATGGTACTGGTAAGTATCAGCACAAGATGGAAGGGAGGGGGAGGGAGCAGGATGCTGGCAAATGTCTGTCTCAGGGGTAATGAATAAGCTGCTGTTCCTTGCAAAAGACTGGAAAGTTCATTTCCCATAGGTTGATACACTTCATTTACTTTCTATCTGTCCATCTGAGAGGGGACTTTTTATTTGAGGAGGGACTTTTTATAAGGGCACGTAGTGACAGGACAAGGGAAAATGGCTTTAAATTGGAAGAGGGTAGATTTAGTCACGATTTGGAGAGCGATGAGACACTGGAACTGGTTACCCAGCAATGTTGCTGATGCCCCATCTTTGGAATCGTTCAAGTCCAGGCTGGATGGGGCTCTGAACAACCTGGTCTAGTCGGAGGTGTCCCTGCCTATGGAAGGGGGTTGGAACTATATGATCTTAAAAAAATGATCTTCCAACCCTAACCTTTCTGAGATTCTTTGAACTCGAGAAATATGTACTTAAGAGCTAACTTTTTTGCTCAAGTGGAAAACTGCTTTGATAGCTCTCTTTCATTGGCCTTACTGAAGAAAAAGACACTAAAGAAACTTCCTAAAACTCCTAATGTAACAGATAATTTCATGTAGTTGAGTGCATCTTCCTAAAATCTAAAATCATGAGGGTAGTGACAACAAGCAGTTTCACTGGTTTCAAAACAGAGTTCAGTATCTTTGTAGGCCACTGCTTAGTTACTTGGAAGATTCTAGAAGTGAAGCCTAAAGAGATCGTTTGTTTGTTCCTGTTGCACACTGGTACTGTGTAGGTCATGTTGGTCCACATAATCCTGTGCTTTTATAGAAGATGTGCACTGTATTCGTATCACAGTCTACCTTCTTGCAGCAAAGACTGTAATCAAAATATGGTTTTCAAGTTTTTGACTCTAGGAGAATGCATGTAGAGTTATGGTAGATAGAAAGGCTTTGGATCTTCCAGACCCAGAAAAAGACCTGGTAAATTACAGAATAATTATTAGTGCATTATTTACTCCAAAGTTAATGAGTCAAGGGAAGAGGAGAGTCTGATTTTCTGCTGCAACTTAATGTGATTGGTGTAATTAAGATTAAAAGGCTTATTAAGTGACATGAAAATGATGATGGTAGTTATTATTTACATGCTTCCTCCTTAATACTCTTTTAATTATTTTCTTTTCTGTTTTCAAATCTAGAATATTCTCTGAGTAGTGCAGATATATCATCTCTCTCTGGATTTAATACAGCCAGTGCTCTTCATCTTGGTTCTGTGACTGGCTGGCAACAGCAACACCTACATAATATGCCGCCGTCTGCCCTCAGCCAACTGGGGTAAGCACTGTGTTGTTTTTTTAAACTGTTATATTGTTCTACAATAACTTTAGTGTCCCCAGGAATCCCAAATATGAAATACATCCTGAAAACATGTCAGCCCATGTGTGTAAGAGCTCCACTGCCCAAAACTGGAACAGCGTATTTCATGAAAAGTTTGCCATGTACCCAAAATTGAATATTCTGTGTCCATTACATTTCCTCAGCAGTGTAGTGATGAATTCTGTTCTTGTTTTACTGTTTCTTTAAATAGCATTTTACTTCACTACTAACAACTAAACTAAACACTTACTTTGTGCTATTGCTTTATTTTTCCACTTCTGCTTTTTATTTCCAGTTACTGTAGCTCAAACATGAACTAAAAAAAAATGTCTAAATACTGAGTACTTCTAAATCAAAAGTGACAAAATGATTTTACCTGGGATTAAAATTAAACCTTATAATCACATATACACTCTTGCTCAGCTTTGATGTTCAAGTTTCATTTCTTTGCAAATGTTTCCTACAAGCAAATAACACAATTAGAGCTAAAACCCATAAAACCCTAGAACTCGTGGTGATTTTCTTGCCTTGAGGATAAATGTTTATGCCCTCTAGTGGCTAATTTTAAGACGTTTCTTCCAAGATCGGTGGAGCACTATGTTTAACCATTTCAGTATTCACACAGGGAATTCACCTCATGCATTATTGAAAAAGCAATACATTTGCTTATTCAAGTGAATTTAAAGAGTATGATTTTCAAAGATCCCTGTATCTGCTGTCTCTATTGAGCAACTCATAGGCACCATTACTCCATGTCTGTGCTAATGTATGGCTGCATTTGGAAAGTCGAACTCTTTTTTTAAAAAACAATCATTGCACACATGCAATTATTTTTGCAAGGCAGTTGCTGTAATCTGGAAGTAAATAGTACAATAAATATGGCTTAAATTTCAAAATTTTCCTAGTTTATCTGAATACGTTTTATAAATGAATGTATTTTCTTTACCTTGTAAAATGGTTTGAAATTTTAAAGAACAGCTACACAATTATTGGAAGAAATATAAACCCTTTGAGCATCAGAAATATAATTTAGCATAATAAGTACTAACTACATAAATTCTTACAACTGAAATAGTTCCCATGTTAGTAAAAAGAAAAGATCTTAATACCTGTCTGCTATGCTTCTTCTGTTTTATTTTTGAGCTGTGCTGTTTCTCAGGCAACATTAAGGTTAATTGTACAAGGTACCTATAGTCATGCATAAATTGAAAACTCACACTAGATTTCAATGTATAACCTTGCAATCATGGAATCATAGAATGGCTCATGTTGAAAGAGACCTCAGAGACCACCTAGTTCCTACGCCTCTACCACTGGCAGGATTGCCAACCTGTATCAGGCACTGTATCAGGTTGCTCATAGCCCCAACCAGCCTGGCCTTGAACACCTCCAGGGACAGGACATCCACAGCCTCTCTGGGCAGCCTACTCCAATAAGCTGATTGTTTTCAGTGGTGTACCAAAGAATGTAATAAGGCTATTTGAATAACCAAAAAAAAAGTACAAATTAAATCCTAAACTAGCTGCATGCCTTTTCAGATACGTCACACATCATCATCTGTTTCTAATTCATATTACAGTATGCTGAAGTGCAGTGGCTGTGGCTAGTGAAATATATTCTAAGTCACTACTTTTGTTATTATTCTTTCAGTGAGTTGTAAATGAATTCAGCTAAGAAAGCAGCTTCACTGACAGTTCTGGCAAAGCCTTCTATGTGTGCAGAAAATCACACACATTATTTTACTTCAGTCACCAGGTTGTACATGCAGAAGGATCCATACTAGCTTCTGAATTATTAAAAAAAAACAAAAACAAAACAGAACAAACAAACAAAAAAAACCCTTGAAATTGTACAAATCATAATCTGTCCACATTAGCCTAATCTTGAATTTGTAGAAAAGTAATCATACAAAAGTGTGTTTCACTGGGAATTTAAGAAAATAGTTGTAGAAATGTTTGACCACTCTAATTCCTGCCCTTAGTGAGAGAACTCTGCTTCGTAATGCATGGCAGAAGCATAGGGCTAGTAAATAGAATAGGGTGTGCTTAAATGTGTTAGCTTGCTGCACATAAGTCCTCAACAGTTTCAGAAGCACTGTCAAAACCATCTTTCAGACACCTGGAGATCTCTAAACCATACTGCACATCTGAGCCTGAGGGAGAGTTTCTGAGGACATAGGAGTAGTTCAGTTGCTGAGCCTGTGAACAGGATAGCAATGTAAAGTCCCTTCTGATATGACTGGGGCATTTAGTCAGACATTTCAACAGTCTAAATTTTAAAAAGCAAAATAGTACTTTTCAGCCTTGTAATTAGAAAAATTACACGCTAATTCTATTAAAAATCAAAATATATTCCTCCTCATACTTACAGGTTTCATCTAAATATTGCTGCTACTACTCTTAACTCCATTCCTAACTTTGAAATGAGCAATCTAAATTCTTCAGTCTCAAGTCCATTATATAGACAATTATCTCATTCTGTAATCTGCAGTTTAAGAGAAGATCTTTTCTTTCTGAGGTGTCATCCACAGCTGAAAATTTGCCCTTCCTAAAATATAAGTGCAGACTTCTTAGAAATGCATTCACAGTGTTTCATCTCAGGAATCTTTGGTAGAGATAATTGCTTAAATACAAGAAGTTTCTCTAAACTTCTGTCAAACTGAACAAAAACTTTCCCAAATTCGTGTGTATTGTTGGTTTGTTCTTTAATTCGTATCAGGCATTCTTGTTACTTAGAACTATTAATTTATATTGGCTAGTAGCCATAGCTAGATAGCATAGATGCAGGCAAATATTCTTCTTGAAAACTTTTTACTGAAAAATTCAGACACAGTGACATTCTGTTTTGTGAATTTGTATCACTTCCACCAACCTGCTTACTCTGAATAAAAGCCTTAAATATTTAGGATAGAGCCTTTTTCCTATACCACTATATTAAACAAGATATTACAGTGATTTGGTTTCATATTATTCTTTGCTTAGAAATTTCCTTTAAAAGTGTAGAGCATAAGGTGTGAGGAGCTAGTCCAAATAACTTGACACATATTTTCTATGCTGATAAAATTATTAAAAAAAAAAAAAAAAAAAAATCAGCTTTGCTTTTACTTGAAAGAAAAATAAAAGGGAAGGTGTAAGGTTGCATTACTAAAAAAATCCAGTATTTTCCTGGTTGTGGACATACAAATTTCATAGTGAATTTTCACTGTTTTCTCATGAAAATATATATGCATCTTTGAAACAAGATGGTATAAAGAGAAGGAAATTTAGAGAAACAAGTGTGGCCATAACAGAAAGGACTCGAGTTTCTTTCTTCCTTTAATAGCAGTCTTTGACTCCCTGTAAAAGCCTATGTGATGCTCGTTCACATGACTGTTGACCCATGCTTCTGTCTGTGAATGCTGAACTTCCATACTAGCTCTCTAACAGAGACGCACTCAAGCTGATCTCATTACACCAACAAGGACAGTTTACTGGCTAGCTCTTTGCACCCTGATGTGCTTCCCACCTCTCACACATGTTGAACGCATATAGGAACCAGTGTTTCTCCCATGTCAGGGTTGTATTCTAAGTAAAACTCTCATTTTCATTCACACAGATCTGAATAGTAGCTGCTGCTTAAAATTTAAACTTTACAGGGGCAATGAGAAAGAGTAAAGTCAAATGTTTTCAGTACAATATATGGAGAAAATTAATCAAGTCAACATTAGTGGACTGCAGGACAGTGAGTGCTTATAGTAATGCACAATCCTATAAAAACATTTGTTGTATTTTCTCAGTAGATTTTCCATATTCAAAACCTCTTTGTTTTTCACTGAGCTGAGGTTTCAAATGATAAAAATAGTACTTGCCTAGGCCAAAATTGCACTGTTTCTGCTTTCATTCACACACACGCATACACATTTAGTGGCAAAAAGAATTGCCATTTTTTCACAATCAAGTTTCTATCCTAAACAGAGATCCATCCTTTGTTGAGGATACAGGTGAAAGACTGCAACTAAGTATGTTCTCATTCACCATACGCCTCCATTCATAACATTAGGTTTCCCTTGCATTTGACCATATCAAACTTATATGAAATTCTGTAGAAACATTTTAGAATATTTACAACATTACATAGAATAGAGTCACCAAAATATATATATGTTCAATTTCAGAAACAGATTTGTCAGAAAAATATGTTTCAACAGACGAAATCTTAAAACATACTGAATGACGATATGCATCAGTTGCTTAAATAGCTCTATTGTTTAAAACCTTAAAGAAAAATTAGTTCTTACCTGCTAAAATGCTCTTTTAACTCTCTCTTTTTTTTCTTTTTTTTTTTCACTTTATAAACAGAGTGCTCAAAATGCAGGTGAACTGTAGCATTTTTTAAACTACTGAAAGCCTGTTTGCCAGGTGTTTGTATAATGCCTCTGAGGAAACAGAAGGGATCTAAAGAAAAGTCTACAGAGTTGCATTCTCACACTCCCCTCTGAAACACTGCTAAATAAATTGCAGCGTAGCAATACAAGTTTTGCTCCTTAGACAATACAGCTTTTTACCCTGGATTTGTTCCTTCGAGGTTGTCATGGAATGGAATATGAGTAGGTTCCAAGTGAACAAACGAGACTGAGTATGGCTGTTTTTAAGTAGTGTGAGTTTTCAACTCTTCCCGGCTTTGCAAAGTACACATCTTCTCAGATCAAACACTACTACATCAAATCGCCAAGATCCAGTGTTCTGTATTAAGGGACTTTCAGGTTTAGCTATGAGTTTGGCATCTAAGATAGTATGTAATCATATTGTACTTGCTAAACTGGCTGCCTGTTTCCCCATGTGAAGTCCTAGCATGTCCTAAGGAAATGAAAAATAAAGTCACTGGAAATGAAAAGCAAAACAAACCCAGGAAGTATTTTTGATTGTTGTTGAATTCTTTTCAACGTTTTTTCATAAAACGTGGAATATTTCACTAAAGTGAAATGACTAAGTTTGATATTTATGGTTTCCTATATGTGTAATTTAATAATTAGAAAAGAAAAAAAAAAATCTTCCTTACCAAAACTGCTTACATTTGATACTTAGAGGGTTATTACTCGCTGCTTGATGCTGCAAATTCTGAGACACTTCTCTGTATAGTAATAAAGGGCAGATAGAAGCAATTGCAGGCAGAACAACCTGCTTTCTGTTTTATTCAACAAGGCTCACACATTATTGAGCAATAACTCCTGACTACAGCATCTGATATTATTCAGTAACTATGCCATATGGCTCCACTGTAAATCTGCCAAAAGAGAAGAAAATGACTTCTTACCTTTCCTAAGTTACAGTAACTGTTGGTAAAGTAAAGCTCAGATCACAGTCAATGACATATCAGAAAAAGTGGAATGTCTCAATAAATGGAAAGGATCACATCTAGACTTAGTTTTCCATCACTCAGAATCCAGATATTTATTCTGCTTGAACCATTGGGTTTAAAATCTTACTGAGGCTGTGTCCTCTCCTCCCGTCTGTCTTCAGTCTCTTTCACTATTAGAAATCTTGAAACTGTGTCTTTGGGTTTGACGCTGGCTCCAGCCTAGCAAATGGTCCCTGAAGTGGAGCAGTGTCCAAGAACTCAGTGGGAACCTCTCGTTGATAGCTGTTTTAACGAAAAAAATGTCAGGTTTTGCCAGTAGGTGGTGCTTTTGTACAAAGCATTCTGTAGTTGCAGTGGGTCTTGTTTTCTTCCATACAGTGCAAGCTCAGTGTTCTCTCCTCCCCTTCTATCTCAGCTTTCCTCAGCCAGAGCTGCCCACAGTAATGCGCTAAGACAAAACAAATGGAGAACAAGTATAGAACCTTTGAAAAACTTTAGATAGCAGCTTCTCTTGTGGTTCTGAGCATCCTATGAGTCAGGTTGTCAGTTACACATTGCAATCCTCTGTCATCTCCCTTAACTTCTCTTTGGTAGTTTATCCATAAATGCTCTGGATATAATTACAAATTAATGTATTCCATAAAATCAGATCTAAAACGTAGCCTGCTGGTTGAGTTCTATTAGCATTAATCCAAAGATGATTAATTTGAACTCATTAATGAAGACATTAAATACATGGGGCCCAAATTTTTGTTTCCACTTTACACCTGAAGTCTCATGTTGAAGTAAACAAGGATAAGACAAACTGAACTAATCCCACAGAAACCCATGCCTCCCATGTGCCATCAGTGCATACACACACACAAGCATTAATTATAAAGAAACCTGCAGGTGGTTCCAACAGTGCAAAGGCTCGGCTTCCAAAATTTCTTGTGATGCTTGAGGAAACAAAAAGGAAGGGAACTAAAGAGACCTACGTTCAGACCTCGGGCATGTCTCGCTCAAGCCGGCCACGTTTGCCGTGGTGTTTCCATCTCCAGGCCTTTTTTAATTCCACATAGAAAGTGGTCCTCATGCTGTCCGCACGCACTGGCACTGCGTGAGCCTTTACACTGGTGTTCTGTGTGAGTGTTTGTGCATTTCCGGGGGCTCCATGCCTCCTCCGTCTGTAACTGGGTTTCCTTTCCTCCTACAGAGCTTGCACTAGCACTCATTTATCTCAGAGTACAAATCTCTCCCTGCCTTCTACTCAAAGCCTCAACATCAAGTCAGAACCTGTTTCTCCTCCTAGAGACCGTACCACCACCCCCTCGAGATACCCACAGCACACGCGCCATGAGGCGGGGAGATCTCCCGTCGACAGCTTGAGCAGCTGCAGCAGTTCCTACGACGGGAGCGACCGAGAAGACCACCGGAATGAATTCCACTCCCCCATTGGACTCACCAGACCTTCGCCGGACGAAAGGGAAAGCCCCTCTGTCAAGCGCATGCGGCTGTCTGAAGGATGGGCGACATGATAGCATTATTACCTATTAGTTTCTTTCTTTTTTTTTTTTCTTGCAGTGTGTGTGTGCTATACCTTAATGGGGTAGGGGGGGGTCGATATGCATTATATGTGCCGTGTGTGGAAAAAAAAAGTCAGGTACTCTGTTTTGTAAAAGTACTTTTAAATTGCCTCAGTGATACAGTATAAGGATAAACAGAAATGCTGAGATAAGCTTAGCACTTGAGTTGTACAACAGAACACTTGTACAAAATAGATTTTAAGGCTAACTTCTTTTCACTGTTGTGCTCCCTTGCAAAATGTATGTTACAATAGATAGTGTCATGTTGCAGGTTCAACGTTATTTACATGTAAATAGGCAAAAGGAAAACGTCTGCCAGAAATGGCAGACCTTTACTGAGAGAGAAAGCAGCTGTTATGCAACATATAGAAAATGTACAGATGTTTTGACAGACCCAGTGGTTGGGTGGCCGTGAATCCATGCTAGAAAGAGACTGGGTCACCTAACACACCGAAAACGCTCAAAACCATGCGGGCATATCTTTGGAGTATGGCACTCAGTTAAGAAGGATCAAAGCATTTGAAGAGGACCATACTTGTTAAACAAAATCGAGTTCGAGGGCTAACATATTTAATTTTAAAAATTCTGGGTCTGCATCACTTATTAAATAAAAAAAAAATTATAAAAATATGTACATTACATTTTGCTTATTTTCATATTAAAAAGTAAGACAGAGTTTGCAAAGCATTTGTGGCTTTTGTAGTTTCCTTAAGCCAAAATGTGTTCTTTTTTCCTTGATAGCTTCGCTAATCTTTTAAACAGTCCTGACAAAAACAGAGGACTTTTTGTATAGAAAGCACTACCCTAAGCCATGAAGAACTCCATGCTTTGCTAACCAAGATAACTGTTTTCTCTTTGCAGAAGTTTTGTTTTTGAAATGTGTATTTCTAATTATATAAAATATTAAGAATCTTTAAAAAAAAAAAAATCTGTGAAATTAACATGCTTGTGTATAGCTTTCTAATATATATAATAATTATGGTAATAGCAAAAGTTTTTGTTATCTTAATAGTGGGGAATTATATTTGTGCAGTTGCACATTTAACTATTTTCTTTTGGTTTTATTTTACTGGGCATACATTTTACAGATCAAAATCATGTCTTGGAAGACTGATCTGTAAAAAGTTTGGATTTACCCATGGTGTAACAACTGAAACCATTTTAATACAACATTTTACAATCAGTTGAGTGAACTGCGATTCATTGTATATACTGATTAGTTCTTTTCATGCTGTTTTGTGCATTGTAACAAGCTAAGGGCCCTTCTATAACCTACGTCCTGCGTATCTTGTAGATTTCCATGGGTTAAATGGCAAAGTGGCATCGCTTGGCCCTTCCTCATCAGCGAAGCTGGTATTCTGCCTGTTAGAATTGGATATACAGCTCTAACGGCCATCGATTGCGTGAGTGCAGGTGAACATTTCCAGAGGCAGCAGGGAGAGCAAGAAGTGAGGGACTGCCACAATCCCACCTGTTGCGAAGTCCCATCTCTCTCAGACATAAAACCTGCAGAGAGATCATCAATTAGAGGACCATTCAGAAGTCAATCTGTCGTACCCCACCAATACAGGCCACCAGGCCGCTGTAGTTGTCACAGCCCTCACAGTCACGTCTCGCGGTAGGGATGCTGTTGAACAGAGCTGCCTGTGTATTTACAACCCAAAGCGATTCACTTCCGCATATGGCGCCCACCCTTTCTCCTGCCTCGTATTGTTCCCTTGACTGAAATTGCTTCACCAGAAGGGATATATCATTGTTTTAAGTTCTTGTCTGTCCCTCTTGCTTATTATAAGAAAATGGTATACTCAGATGTTTCAGTTCAACCTTCCCATGGGAAGGAAACTTTGTTCAAGCAACATGCTAGTGCCATTGTAGAACTGTAGTACTTCTTTCCAAAAGTTGTTCCAGCTCTCACTCACATACCTTGAGACTATGATGAAGGACATAACTGCAACAGCAAAATATCGACACAGAAAACATTTTGTTAAGGGAAATCCACACCCTATTTCCCTTCTACATGTGCAGTTGCTGTGCACTGCTCAGCGGTAGAGGTTACCTCCCTGTAGCAGCAAACAACTAACAGATGACAGCATGCGCTAGGACATACGCTTTCCACTTATTGTGACTTACAGAAGCCTGCCTCACAGGCACTCTCAGCCATGCAGGGGCTAGTGCATAATCTGGGAACTATCTAAGCAGAATACTGTGCTAACAAGACGTACATCTTATCTCGCGTGGAGGTCAGCAGGGTAAAGAAACAGATACGCATGTTAAAAAAAAAAA